TCTCCTTTAATTCTAGTGGTGTGGGGCATTGGCTTTTGAAACAAAGGTCCTTGTTATGGTTTGGCAGCTGCCATGAAGTTCTGAGTGACTTTTGTGAGCAGCTTACTCATTCCTGCAAAGGTTTGTTGACTATGGGTTTGTTACAGTTTGTGCCTTCATTAGTGTTATATAGCACTTGCAAAACCCAAAAAACTCCGCTGGCAATACCCATCTTTCGTCCTGCCGTGTTGTGCATTAGGTTTAATTCTTAGGAGAGTCCTAAACAATGGTTGATTTTGCCTAACATGGGCTGTATGTTGCCCTGAAACCAATTTAAAGTTGCAGTTTGAATCAGGAATCACATTGGGTCTGTCCTAATACAAGCTATACCTAGGGTGTCCAACCAGTTCTGAAGCAGTAATCACTGTAGTGGCTACTGCTATAGCAAACTAGCAACACTCAACTGGTCAAATTGCCACACCCAAAACACCAAATCACCCCCAGCGTGGCTAGTGGCTAGCATGCTGGACACCACGATAAACACTTGGGCATCATGAAAAGTGAGCACAATAACAACATTTCAGCTTTAGCTTTTAATGTCTGCCTTTTGTCAGTTTAAGCCAGGCCATTAAAGAGATAATGTCAAGGTATTAAAATTCTGGCTAAGGTTTCTCAAAAACGATGTGTGATTGTGGCTGCCTTACTTTTTGGGTGCTCAACCTAAGATGCCTTAAAGAAGCCTGATTTTCAGATTGTTGGTTTTCATCACCATTTGAAAAAGACATTCCTTCAAGGTGGCTCTGAGTGGGCATCAGAAAAAAAATATGGTATGAAAATAACTGTGGGACTGAAAATTACTAATCATTTGAAATTCTTGGTTCATGTGTTTGGAAAGAAGGCTCTGACTCCACATTGCCTTGCCACCTTGTGACATCTTAGCTCAAAGGTGTAAAATAATATCACTTGCATAAGGAAATGGTTTGACCCAAGAACCGAGGTTGGGGAACCGAGATTTCCCTGGGTTGCCCAAAATAATGTCATGTAAGATGTCTACTGTATCACACTAGTTGTCATGACCATCATGAGAGCCATGTATGGAGAGTATATGAGGAGTTATGTGTATATGCTAAAAAATGGCATCTCTGTGGTTATATATAGGTTGCTCAGAGGTAGCATGTCTTGAGATAAACTTCTCCAGACAGAGGATGTGAGACACTTATCTCCTGGGAGGCTGTTGTATATTGTATAATCAGAGTGTGTTAGCATTCTAAGGCAAGTGCTAATTAAGAGTTTGCAGAGACTTATAAAGAAAGCTAACAGGAAGGGTGAATACTGAGGGAGGGTGACTATCAAAAATCTGTTCTGGTGTATTTGTGAGTGCAGAGGCACTTGGATGTCCTTCATACAGAAAGTAAACTGAGAGCCAGTTCTCAAAAAAGGGATCTCAACCAAGCTTGGAGAAAACTTTGAGTGAGATGAGCTTCTAAACACAGGAGGATAACTTTGTTTGCTGTGGTATAGTTAATTAGTTAAGTTTAGGCTTCAGAATGCAGTTGTTATGTTGTTTTCCATGCAACCATTTGTTACCATCTCTCACACTGTTTTTATTGGAATTTTATTCTTTCTCAAGTCCTTTATTCTTTTGTTTTATAATTGGATTCAAATACTATGTGCAATACAGAAGCAGTGATCTGGAGGGTATGTCTAGACTACAAGCTTTTGTCGACAAAGAGCATCTAGACTACATCCAGTTCTGTCGACAAAGCAAGCCGCTTTGTCGACATGATAATGTAGATACAATAATGCCTTCTGTCAACAGAACTCTATCGATGTTATGTCGACAGAATTCAGCGATAGTGTAGACACAGGTATAGTTTTGTCGACAAAAGTCCCCTTTTGTGGACAAAACCCTGTAGTCTAGATACACCCTAAGGTGAAACTAATAAATCATGGTACTGTTCTTTTGGGAACAAATGATTCTGTGGGTATCCAGTGATTATGGCTGGATACCATGGGGAACACATGGAAATAAGTTAGGGTGTATCTACAGTCAACTCGCAAGGCAGAAAGTCATCTGGGGTAGCCCACAGAAGAAGAATGCACGAGTAGCTGACAGGCAAGTTGTGTTGGGGAGCTAACACCCACCTGGCATAAGCAAGATTGTCATGCCGCAAGCAGAAGCATCACAAATGGAAAGTTTGGATTTGTTCTCTATTTATAATTTGCCCAGCTGTAAATAACTTCCCAGGAGCGAGACAGTGAAGAGTCAGGCCCGATGCCTTTCCCTGTTCCTGACAACACTACAGGTCATCACAGCTGGAGAATTTTTCAAGTTCTGAAATTTCAAGTGGGGGGTGGAGGGGGATTTGACAATTTTTGTGATTTTTTTTTTCCTCACATTTTTGCAATAGCATACATGGTAGGAATGAAACATAGGGAAAAGAGCAAAGCACAAAAATAATGGAGGGAAATCCATGTAGTTTTCGAGGTTGATGTGTGATAAAAAGACACATTCAAGAGAAGCAAACACTTTGAGGATGGGGAGAACAGCTATCGAAAATACCTGAATTGGGTGAGGACAGATGGCCCCAGACTGACAACGTATTGGATAGCTGATAACATTTCACGTTGAGATGATTGTCAGCCGGTGGTCAAAGACTATGCTGATTTTACTGCCCTATGCCCTGTGTGCTCCAGGCAAGCAAAGATGGATGTTACAGGGGGTTCATGTCTGGCTACATTGATCCAACTAAAATCTGTAATAACTGAGAAGTGACGAATGTCCAGGTGGCTCTACAGTGAACTGATGAACTCTTTTGGGCTCTTTGTTGAAAAAAGGTCAAGCTGAGTGCACTTGTGAAGCTCCCATTCTCTTCCATTTTCTATCTTCCTCAGGAACACCCAAGAAAACATGAACCCAGAGGATGAGGTGGATGAGTTTCTGGGCCGTGCAATCGATGCCAGAAGTATTGATCGGTTACGCTCTGAGCATGTTCGCAAGTTTCTCTTAACGTTCAGGGAGCCTGACTTAGAGAAGAAGGTAACATTTCCCCAAAAACATCTCTTAAGTGCAAAATGTCTGTTATTAATTTTGTTTGTCCCGGTTAAGCTTAAGTTCTTCCTACAGTTTGGAGTTACTTTACTTCCTCCCCCCCTCCACACACACACACACTTGACACTTCAGTTCCTTTAGGGAAATCTTAACTTACACCGTGTCCTTTAAAAGAAGATATTTGTTGAAGGAAACATGATTAGAAATGCAGCATTGGGTAAGAATGCATGCTAAATAAACCATTTCTCTCTCACCTCTAGCAATGGTGAACTTCGGAGTGAAATCAAGATGTTCTTGTGCCCATTACTGATCATTAGAGTATCTCTCTTGGGTCACACTCAAACTTGTACACTTTCCCAACACCACTTCTCTCTTCTACCAGTTTTGGAGAGGAAGGCTGATCTCGAGTCTAATGCACTAGGTTTAGGAAATCTGGATCTGCCACGGATATTAATATTTTTGCCCTTCAATTGCCTCACCTGTAAAATGGACACACACACACACACACTCTCTCTCTCTCTCTCTCTCTCTCCCCCCCCCCCCCTCCCCCTCTCCCCCCCTCTTCTCCCCGCCCTTTTTAATCCTAAGTAATATCAGTCCTAGGACTATGTGAGCTGTTTTTAGGATAAACCTTAATGATAACAATAAAAGGTGAGCTATGTTTTTAACAAGAATAGCCACATTTAAAGATTTCCTATAGGTCATCTTAAGTTTGAGTCTGCTACTCAATCATTATATTTAGCAATTATGTTTGTACTGCCAAGAGAGATACAGCGATAGTGATTAAGAGCAAGAGGTCTTTGTAGTAATTGCAGTATTTTTCAGTGTTGAATGGGTCACATTAGGGTTGACCGGAAGTTTAAGCATGTTATTTTCCCCATTTAATGTTATGATTCTAAGAAAACAGAATGGTTCGCATATCTGAAGGGCCTGCTAGTTTGATAGTTTAGGGATTGAGATTGTTTGGAAGAAGATTTACAGTTCTAGAGTCACAGATGACATATTTAATAATTGGACACAATGTGCGAATGATGCATCTTCATGAGAGACTCTGGTGGCAATCTCACATTTTCATTAGAACCGACTAAACCGCACTGTTGTTGTGTTAACATTGGCCGATACCATGAAAAGCATATTTTCTTGCAAGGCTTGAAAGAGGAGAACAAGAAATTGGGGTTTTCACAACAATCTTTCACTTCTGACGAAATGCAGTGACTTGTTGTTGACATGTTACCCTTTTAAGGCATGAATAAAAAATGTGCTGGATTCTATTCGAATGAAAATGTGAAAGGGAAAAAACCCTTCTCAGGAGGTCTTTGTATCATGTAAGCTGTACCCTTCAATTTCACCTTGACATTTACTATGTCCCCAAATCCCTGGTGGGCAGGTGAATTTTTCTTGCAGCATCTGTTGGCCTGCTCCAATTGGACTGCCATTCCCAGCGGTCACTCTTATTACTCATATTGGAGCTGTACTTACAGACCTCCCCTCTCCCCATCAAGTCTACCTTTATGCTACACTTTGTACAGACGCATTAACCCAGAGAGTTTATGGTTAAAGTAATGCCCCAGAAATTTTAGTTTAAGCAAGAGATTCTCCTTGTGAGTAGTCTCAGTGAAGATTCATACAGCCGAGAGGGGTCTGGATAGAATATCAAAAACTCAGCTTAGGAGGCTTAAAAAGCCTTGGCTGTGTTTTCCTATTCATCCCCACTGGAGGGAGTCCATGATGGAATGAGTCAACATCTCACAGCTGTGCTCTCTGGTCCGGATTTATCTCTTTTGATGCACATCATGAAAGGGATGAAGTATAAATCCTCTTCCCATCGGCACAGGACCACTCTATAGCACTTTTGGGGGAGCAAGGGGGACAAAATATAACACAAAGAAAAGAGCTATTTTCACACTTCTCTAGGAGGAGCTGGTAGCTTTGCAAGTGGTGCCTCTTGGGGAATCAAGAGGAGCTGCATGAGGGGTTTGGTTGCGTGGAGGGGATGGTTATATGTTCTTCCTATGCTTATAAAAGCCCATTCGCTTCCTTGCAGTACTCCAAGCAAGTGGACGACAGATTTGGAGCCTATGTGGCTTGTGCTTCTCTGGTCTTCCTCTTCATCTGCTTTGTCCAAATCACAATCGTACCCCAGTGAGTAGCTCTCTATCGCTTTTTCTACATTCTGGCATATTTTTCCCCATCCTTGAGGCTGCAGTGCATCAAAAGGAAGCAAAAGTCTTTAAATAATGCATGCCTAAGTGATGTGCAATGCTTATTGTGTGCATTCGTTTCTAGCGATGGTATGTTACGCTCAGCATTGGCAAGCGAGCTTTTTCACTTTGCCAGCTTGATTTTTTTTTCATTTTGCCAGCTTGATTTTTTTAGAGTATTTGCATCTTACATGAGACATTTGATTTACTATTTTTATCATTCCGTTGAAAATAAGATTGCAAGAGTAGAAATGGCTATCTACCGAGGCAGTAATGCAGGGCTACAATGTGCCCATGTTGAATGCAGCTGCGCAGAGGAGGAACAAGGAATAAGTGATCCACCACAACCCTCTTGTTCAGCTATTGGGATCTGGCATCTTAGCAGTGTTGCCAAGCTCAGCCCTGCTCTATGAGCAAATGAGTGGGGAGGGCAGAGTGGGCAGAGCTATCCAGGAACGAAGGGGGAAATAAGCTGCATCCTTTCAAGGGCTGCAGTCACTTATTCACCTTCTCCCAACCAGGCAAGAGAGGCAATGGGATGGAATAGTGCTTCCTAAAGTGTCAGAGGTAGAGGGTCTTCTGGACTGGTGCAACATGTACATGGCCCTGTGCTCAGATTGGTGCCTAATGGCACAGCCTACCCCCGCAGATCTTCTGCAGAAAACAAAATGCTTCCGAATTTTCATTTTTATTAACTGCCCTTGAAAAAGGAGAAACGAAGTGTGTTTGTGTTTTGCAGAGACCGTAAGAGGCTCAATAGCAATGCTTTCTCATGAACTGGGCACCTAAAAATAGGAAGTGCTCCTAAGATAATTTTAGAATGGTTCACTTTTAATCTCAAGAATAATATCACGGAAGAGTCAGAAATGGCAAGTTTATCTCCTTCCATTCTGATGAAGAAAACGCTAGTTTAAAAAAGGCCCAAGAGTAGTATCTGTCCTTACAAGTGCTTTCTGCTTCACGCACATCCCCATCTTTTACAGAAGAAAGACCATGGACTGTTTGCATCTGATTGCATGTGCAGAAGGCCACAGGAAACAATATAGGATATGGTATTTGAGGTCACTCTTCCCCCAGCAAAAGTAGGGCTGCCTCTGCTCGAGGAACGATAGAATCAACAAAGCAGAACAGCGGCAGCAGAAACACAGCATATAAAGAGACAGATCCATTTATGGAAATGAGAGGTTGAAAACTGAAATTAGGCCAATCTCTGCACTTTATACGTGGTTAACAATCACTAAAGCTGTTCCTTTCATGTTTGCCCAGGTTTCATAAAGGTTTTGAACCTTAGATCAGCTGATTTGACCCTGCTGCCTTGAATTCACACCTTTGGGAGAGAAGGCCTGTCTTTTAAAAGGATTTGGTTTGTCCATCAAGTTCACTAAGCAGCCACTGGGCTATTTAATTAGAGCTAATGTAACATTTAAAAAAAGAGTTGAAAAAATATCCGGGTCCTTGGCCATCCTATTGGATGGCTCTCTTTGTTCTGTATTATACAAGAAAATCGGAGCAGTTTCACTATGATATGGTATATGCTGTATGCTTGCCAGTCTTCACCCAGGGGCAGAAATATTTCATGTTTTTAATTTTTTTCGGGTGTTTTAGAGACTCCCATAATCTTAGGGACTTTTAGCTTTTTCCCAAAAAAGTATCCACAGGCAGGATACTGGACTTTACAGACCATTAGTCTAATCTATATAGCAAAAGCAACGGGGCTTGACATTTCAGACCTCAAACTGCATTTTCCCACATGTCCAAATCTGCATGCATGCTTATCGAATAGGAAAACTCACATGTAGGAAAGTCAATGAGATTGAGGATAGTGGATGCCCAAGTCTTTTGAAAATGGGACTTAGATATTTTTGAAAATTTTACTCTGTGCCTCAGTAAAATGAGTATAACACAACTTCCCTACCTCGCAGGGATTTTGTGCTAACAAATACATTCCAGATTGTGAGGTGTGCAGATACTACTATATAGTAATAGAGAAAATACAACTCCCACAGACCAATAAGGAACATTGTTTTTCCATTTATATTAATACTAGCCGACTGGAAGTGGTATGAGTTACCATCATAACATATCATCTCCAGAGATCCAAACTTATATCTGAGATGGGTAACAAGTGAACCTGCATTGGATGGTCTAAGGGGAGCTGTACCCATCTCCAGTGGCCTTTTTTCCCACGTAGTAGAAATAAAGTATAAATGGATAACATCTTCCTAGGAGAAGACTAGAACAGCAGAGGGGTTGGAAGTCAGTGGTCAAATGCACTGCCTGAGATATGTAGAAAAGGGCTCATTTTCCAGAACTATCAATTACCTTGATTCACAATTGTTAAATCTGTCCCAAAATTAGAACCCAAAACACAAACAGCTGCTAGTGATGTTCTGTATAATTCTGCAGACAAGTAGTAATAAGACTAGGGTAATGCTGTCGCATGAGAATTGTTAAATTCTCCACTATCCTGTGAATGGCTTGGCATGTCTGTAGGCTGATTTGGTTTATAGAGTAAACAACGCTCCATGGTTCATCTTTGGATCAGATTTATATTTTATCACATTTTTATTCATTTTTCTAATATTCTTAATTGCAAGGTTGTTGTCTTTCCTGAGGACAGCAATTAGCAAGCAGCTGCAGTTGTGTATGTGTGTCCCCCCCCCCCAGAATCTGAAGCTTTAGACAAAATAACAATGATCATTTGTGATAATAAAAGGGAATTGCCTTAATGAATGCTGTTAGAGCTCAAACAATGAATAAGCAAAGACAGTTACCTCTGTTGTCATGGAAGAACATGGAAACTGGTTGGCTTGGTGTGTTTGGTTTTAATGTCATTGGGCAATATAACCTCATTGGTAATTTAAAGGTGGTAAAATGTTGGCATGAGAGGAGACCTCTCTCTTTTATAAGGAGAACTTACTGCGGCTTTATTCCTGAGAGCTCTCATGCCCATCTTTGTTACTGAGATTAGGCTGGAAGACACCAAAAGCAGTAGGGCAGAGAAAGGCCGTCCTTCCCCAATTGTTTAGGGCACCTGAAAATTTGGGGCACCCCTGGGTCTTAATATCCACCCACCTGCCTCTTCATATCCCTGTTCTGCACCTCTGCTTTCTCTGAAAATTTAGTTAACCTGCCAGATCTATTAGCAGAACATTGAACCTGGGAAAGAGCCATTCACGTGGTAATGAAGCCAGTTAACAGGTATTTGCCTACCCCAGGCATATACTGTCAGTTTCTGAATTTACTGTGTTCATCTACAGGACCTTAGTTTAAAATGTGCTTAAAATATTTCATTGGTGTGTTGCTGACGATTATAAAATCCTCCCATCCCCGGCTGCCATTGGGCATAGGGTCACCAGTTTAATAGTACTACATAGGGCCCTATTAATCCTAAGGACAGCCCAGGGCATGAGAAACCAAGCTAGGCTTGGCATTTTGTTGGGTGTAGGCTCGTCCTCGGTATTTTCCTTCCTAGTCAATACAAGGGTTCTGAGTCCTTCTCGGAGGATGCAAATGAAAGGATGAGGGTGGGCTCAAAGTGTGCCATGAAATATGCCTGCTCTGCATATGCCATGTGCACCTGACTGCAGAAACCTCAATTCTAAAGCCCAGCAAGCTTCTCTGGCAGCCTGGGGAATTATTCTGTCATCCCTTCTAACACATGAAACATTTCTCCACCTCTCCACTGTCACCCCCGCGGGATGGTGATTCTGATGAAGGATGCAGCAGTCTCTGCTCTCTGCAGCTGGGGTGGGTAATTTATAGGGAACAGGGAGTCTCCCTGTGGAAACACCTCCTACCATGTAGTGCCACTCTGGCCAGAGAGAAAGCCCACAGCACATGTCATAGTTTGTACCGATGTACTCAGCCTGAAAGCAAAGCAGCGACTGTTCTATATGGTGCAGATCTTTAAAAATCCCTTTCTGGTTTCAGCTCTACATTTATGTTGGGTTTTTACCTGACCTGTTTTTTGATCCTGACCACAGTGGTGTTTGTTTCGGTCATTTACTCCTGCAAAAAGGTGAGTAATGAAATTTCTCTATACTATCCTTTGGTGACCCTTTTAGCATAGCTAGTCTGTTTCTTAAGCTAACATGTAACATCTTCCTATTCCATTAGCTGTCCTTCCCCCACCATTCTTGACAGGTAGACACGTACATACTACAGTGGCAGTATGATATCTAAAGACACTTCAATAAGACAGAATGAACTGAGGTCATGTGCTAGGATTGGCATAGTTTTTCACAGTCAGAAGTAATCAGCTGCTTCCCTGTGGATCTGCATCTCTATGAAGTCCCCTGCAGGCACACTCATTTTGACATTAGAAGAACAATGTTCCTAATGTGGAACCAAGAAAACTGACTCCTGCGCTTCCTCCCCCTAAATTTGCTTCTCCCTAAACTTCCTGCAGAGCTGGCTGTGTGTTGTCCCCGCTGCACGTGCTTGCTCAGTAGGCAGATGATTAGAAGGGTAACCTTATGGAAAGATGTCTTAAAGGGAAATAAAAGCATATGTATTTAGAGCCTTCTCAGCCCGTCTCATGAGCATAAGAAGAATTCAGTCAGTGATCTCCTTTTAGTAACCGGTGGTGGATAAGCAAAGGATGATGGTTGTAAAGCAAGTGTTGTGTGTATTTAGCCTGCCTAGGAAATCTCTATTCTGTGCTGGTGGGAAGGCAGTGTGTGTTGGTGTATTTGTGCTAGACTGTTTTTGTCTGACGGTCTGGCGTATCGGATGTTTTGTGGATTCTCCCGTTTTGAAAGCCTCTGAAAGCTCAGAACCAGACGTCAGAGAACCATACATCATGGCTCCGACCCAACTTTGTTCAGAACAGGCTAAAATGAAATAGATCAACAGCACTTTTTTCTGGAAAAGAAACAATCTGTCTGACACAATCCATGACCTGATTATTTGCTGCTCTTTAATTGTGGACGTTATTGGTGCTACCTATCTTACAAAGGCGTTCTTGGCAGCAATTGTACTGTTGCCAATTAGTTATTGTTAAAAGTTAGCCCACAATTAATAAAAAGCCAAAGTCTTTCAAATATTCCTGGGAGATTCAAAAAGCCCTATGCTATGCTCTGACTCAGAACTTAGGGTAACTCACTGACAAGTTCCCAAAGATTCCCTTTTGAGGGAACCTTGCTCAGAACGGGCTGTTCTCTTTGGCTACACTTGTTTATACTATTTGGGGCCAATCATCATTTCTGAGTTGATGGTGCCGTTTACAAGCTCAAGAGAACAATCTTTACAAGCACACAGATGACGGTGCCCAGAGTTCCTTGTTAAGTTTTGTCTCCATTTTAAACCGATAGACTGCACTGCTTGTCTGTGACTCATTCCTGGGTATGCTTTTGTGTTTAATGAGACAGCGTGGGCCAACCCAGAAAGTATCTTGTTACAGCCACAGTGAACCCAACACTGAGCTACACTATGGCATGTTGGCAGGGGAGCCGGCAGCCTGCATGGGCCCCTGGGCAAAATGGGGGGTCCTGGCTTCATGCTCCCAGAAAAGGCGGGAGTCTTGGGCAGAAGTAGTAGGGCTGGTGGCAGACCTTTCCCCCGCCCCCAAAGCCCTCAGAGTCACACACAGTGCATGACACAGCACTATAGTGGCAATTTAAAGGGCAACTGCGCCCTTCCCCCGTCTCCTCCCATCGGTGGGCCTGCATGCACCATGCAGCACACTCCATCACAACACCAGCCAGCTAGCTCCTGTCCTGACGGGGTTGGTTGCTGCAGTGCTCAGCTGTTTCTTGGACTCGTGTCACAGGACAAATTTGGGGCATCAGCTTCTCTGAGCCCCGGCTCGTGGCATTTGAATCCAGCTGACATCAACCAAGGCTGACTTGGACAGGCATGGATAATTCCCTCTTCTTGGCTTGCCGGGGCTTATATTATTTTCACATGCTGACAGCAGCACTAGCTTTTTGGAGGTCAGAGATGTTTTTATGAGTGACCCAAGTGAAGTATGAATGCGTAATACACAAAGGATTTCTCTTGTGTCTCCGTGACCCTGGTAGGCTGTTGTGTTTTTGTTTCTGTGCCTTGACCTCCCAAGTTCCCATTTAGAATAATGATGGGTGCAGCTGCTATTTTTAAGATGCCCCTCCCTCCAGTGATCAGCCCGGGCTACAAAATCACCCTTAGCCCCTGGGAATGCAGGTGAATAAACATAAAAAGCAAGCCAATGAGGGCAGAAATAAGGAAATTACACTGTGAACTGCCTGGGCTTTCTAGAAGCGATTCTTCGTCACTATATGCATAACATTACAGATGTACATCATACTCTGCAAAACAGTGTTGTGTATCCCGCCCCACAGAGCTCATGGAGAATGAATGGTCCTGGATATTGTTTTTCCCACTCCTTCCTTCCTTTTCTGGGTTCTGGGGGAGGGGGCACCAGAGCATGAAATGCGACAGGCTGCCCTGTGCAAGATCTACTGAACAGTTCCTGTTGGCTGGTTTTATTAAAGAGAAACCCGAGCATATGGCTTGTCAGCGCCAGTGAATTTTTGATTGCCCCCTTATTTAGTGCTCAGGTGCACAAAACCTACATCCAATTATAAACATAACTTATGGAATCCTGAGCTGGTTGAAAAGATGGTCCTGTCAGTATCTTCAGTGAGAAGATATCACGTAGCAGAGGTGGCCTTTGGTGTCAGCGGCTCTAGTGACCAGTCACTGAAAGATTAAGGAGTGAATGTTGAGGACAGTTTTTATTACTTGACTCGTTTGTCCACTCCTAGTTAAAGAGAATGCTACTGTGAATCCTCTGACCACCATCTGGAGAAATGTGCTGGAGCTTCTGTTCTGAGAGAAGTGGTGGTGAAACCGGTGTTGGGAATATACAAGAAGAGCAAGAGTTGTCAAAACCCGGCCTGTGGCAGTGACACCTAATTACCAACCAAAGCAACCTCCATCCTCCAATCCAAGACTCTGGTTCTCGAGAAGGGGACGGTACATGCAACCTGATAGCGACTCAAGAATCCAGTCAGCGTGGTGGTAACTACAGGAGCACTGTGCCTGTTGTATAGCCAGGTTGCCAATGAACTATTCTGGGACTATGCAAGACAAGTAAAACAACAATTCTTTGACTGGTTGAATCCCAGTGCAACCCTGCAAGCCATTATTAGAATAGAGGACATTATTGCTGAGCGTAGATTGGAGGAAGGGTTCATTAGCCAGCCACAATGCAGTCAAGAAACAATCTCTCATGTCTGTCCTGTTCCCTGATAAATTAAAAAAACAAACAAACTGCTGCTAAGCACATATGTGGCACTTCTCAATCTCAAAGCATTGCACAACCATCAGCTAATTAACTATCTTACCTTTTTCACCTCAGTGTTGGTGTGATTTTGCTTGTATACAAGCTTGTTGTCAAACTGTGTGAGGAAAAAGTAGTCGGCTGCTGTCGTGTGAAGAGGCAAGTAACTAATTGGACAGATAGACATAGTCTGGAGTTTTTGTGTTTAAGATATAAAGTTTCCTAGCTCTCTCTAGGGCTTCTCTGTTCATTTTGATAGTGGGACTATTTTTTTTTATTTTTAGTGTGTGCCTGGATTCAAAATGGGAGGGGATGTGTGTTACATGCTACCAGTTCCATACAGGAAATGTTAGGAAACCAGTATTTGTGGTTCTTGCTTGGAATATCAAACGATGAAGCCCAAGCATAACTTATGTGTATCTTCAGTCCTGTTATATGGTAGGTGGTCCCCTAGCACCTCCCATCTTATCTTTTTGTAGTTTCTAAATGCAATTTCCTTTCCATTTTCTTGGCCTCTCTATATAAGGCATTTACAGGCTTTTTCAGGACACCAGCAGGCTTTTTCAGGACAACTTGATTTTATTTTTTGCTGTCATTATCTCCCACTAAAATTCTCCATGGGAGTTGATCATGGAATTGCCAGACTGACCAACATGCGTTTCCAAGTTCCTTCTGCTGCAATAAACAGAGAACTCTCCTTGCTCCTCGTTTTGCTATTTTGAGAAGACTTGGCAATTGAGATCTGATGTCTTCCCATTAAAATTTAGTTTCTGCAAGGTCATGGGAACCACTGTTTCTTCTGAAATGCACTGCTGACTGACATCTGTTTTGCTACTGATTTAACATATTCACATCTTCTGAGAATCCATAAATTGTATTGTACTCACCACTCTGTGGAGTTTAGCTTCTTGGACACTGCTGGACATGAATGTGGGTCAGATTACATGCTACATCTTCCTGAGTTAATTTGATCTGGAAATTATAACTCATATACTCGTTTTCACATATGCATTTCGTGGCTCCTCGCTCCCAAAGTGTGGTCAGAAAATTTAAAAGCATATTTTCATTTTTGGGCTCTTCCTTTTTGGAAATGTTTAGTGAACTGAAAACTCTTCGTTGGCTTTATAGACTGATAAAACACTAAATAATAAACCAAACAAATGGATTTAAAACCCTGAGCTGCCTGTAGCTGTTGACTGCAACTTCAGCCATCTTAAGTTACTGCAGAATGACCAAAATTAAGTTATTCTGATTGGAAGTGCGGGATTTAGAGAATTTCTGTTGTTTATTTTTCAGCATACAGGACCAATTACATCCTGATTGTCAAACTATTTTCCATGTCCATAGTATATGTTGGAAAAAAAACAGATGATTGTTGTTTTGTTGGGTTTTTTTTCTTTCCTTGTAGATTGTTGTTATAGTTTGTGTGATTTTTGTTTTCAGAATGCCTCCCCAGTGTAACTGCATAAGACTCCATTTGAGTCTTAGATTTTGTATCAGTTTGACCCTTTGTCTCTTAAAGGCATATCTACACAGCAGGACAAAAGTTGAATTAAACTATGCAACTTCAGCTATGTAAATTGAATAGCTGAAGTCGAAAGAGCTTAATTCCGCTTCTGGTGCTGTCTACACAGCAGGAAGTCAAAGGAAGAAAACTCTTCCTTCTGCTTCCCTTACTCATCGTGAAATGAGGGTTACAGGAGTCGGAGTAAGAAGTCCTCCAGCTCGACATTATTTCAAAATAATGGCTTGCTCTGTAGATTCGCTTTTTGTTATTGCGAAATAACATCAGTTATTCCGAAATAAAGCTGCTGCGTAGTTGTACCCTAAATGTGCTCACCTTCCTATAGGTTTGGCTTTTACATGGAACATTCCTTATATAAATTAGTGCTTCTTTCCTGGCTTCTTGGGCAGTGGATTTCTGAATGTTGTAAGATGAGTCCTGATCTGACTTTTCCTAGGCAAAAACACAGCGGCCCGAGGCATAATCTAATTACAATTCTGTTGGTGTTGCTTGCCTAAGAGTGGCTCTCGTTGTTGGTACCTCAGAGCAGGAAAGCTGAAGATGGGATTTCATCTATTGCCTTCAATGCCATTTGAGTGTTTTAAGCTACAATGAATTAAATAATAGGAAAACCTATTTTACTATTTTTTGCCCGTACTCATTTTCCTTGACACTTTGCTTTCTGGTACATCAGGTTAACGGTATTTGTTTCCCAATTTACAGAGTAATGAGAACCAGTATTTGTGTAAGGAAAGTGTTTGTTAATGAGTTTAGTTTGTTTGAGTGTCTTTACCAAAATATCCTGCTCGTTTTCTCTTGACTGGTTAGAGTTCAGTCCTAGATAGGGTGGACTGCAGACATGATTGTCTTGTGCTCTGAGAACAAGCCTAGAAGCTAGGAAGAACTACTGAGTTCTAACTCAGGCTCTGCCATCGTTTCCTGACCAGATTGGAGCTCAGCTTTGCAGACGATATTCATCTCCATCTATTCACTGAAATAATGCAAGGGAATAACTCCTTGCATTATCTCAGTTTCCCGATCTGTCAAATAAGACTTGTGCTTATCTGGACTCCTTTCGAGAGGTGTTGTGAAGATTAATTATTTAGTGTTTGTATAGCACTTTGACGTGCTAATTATTATCCTGTTCTACTTGGTGGTAAAAATTACGTGCTACAGCACTATTCTATAGCTGCTCCTGCAATAGAGGTAATGGGAAATCAACGTTGTTGCTTTTAATTCTCTTGTTTTTTCTTTCTTGAATTTCCATCACTATTCTCAGAAATATATTTTGCAGATGTGACTGGTTTTTTCCAATTTAACTTTTAGAAACTCAAATCTGCTGATTGCAGCTGAATACTGAAACTCAGTATAATAAAAACAAGCAGCCTCGCTAACAATCTAGCTGCTAGAATAGAACTCAAGGTGTCTGGTTCTTCTTTTACATACCAATGGTATAAATCAGGGGCAACTTCTCTGAAGTCAGTGGAATTACACCTGTGTATAAGTGGTCTGAGAGGAGAGTCCAGTCGTAGGTGAGTATTAGAGGTGCTCCTAAGGAAGGAGTGAGTGTAAACTAATACCATAAACTACATTCAGTGAAAATTTTCTCTGTCTTATCGTGGCTACTAGAGTTTTAGAGCCATTTTGTATGCTTGATCTGCATATGTCGCTCCTGTTGATGTCAGTTGGGATTGCACCAACAGACCAAAAATGATATGACCCTATGTGATGAGGTTTTTGCAGACCACATTATCAGGAACAACACTTCTGAGAAGCATGTGGGACAGGTCCTTCAAACAGCCATCAGAGAGCTTGTAGTGGAGGATGAGGGACTCTTAGTGCAAGGTTTGAATCTTTGCATTTGAAGTTAACTTAACTCAACCGAATTGTCAAATCTTACAAATGAACTGAAAATTCATGCCAGCGGTTCTAATTGTAGTGGTGAGAAAGCCTTCAAGCTAAAGACTAGAAATATTGGACAATTCTTTACCTATCGCTTTTCTTTCCAGCTGCTTATTAAGACACCTATAAGGTGCTGACATTTCCATCCAGTTCAAAACAATAGCTACACGTACAGTGAAGTTGTACAATGAGAGTTGTCAACTCTCTTGGAGTCTGCATTTCTTTTAAAGAAGAAGAAATCAACTCCAAAATTGCATACCAGCAACTGAACCAGAGATGTCTAGAGCTGACAATAGAAGTTCCCAAAGCATGGGTGCCCAGCTTTTTAAAGATGTTTGGGTGGCGTAACACTTAACTGATGTAGGAGCCTACATCTCGTTTTCAAAAAGCATTTAGGAGCCAAAATTCCCTGACTGTTGAAAATTCAGACATCTTGTTGCAATACTTTATTAGGCTTAGGCATGTGGACTTATCTCCCTGCTTGTTCAAAGATTGGTCTACACTGGAAACTCACATGAGCATAGCTACATCTCTCAGGAGTATGAAAATTCCCATACCTGAGAGACGTAGCTATGTAGATCTAATCTCCGGTCTAAACAGCGCTACGCCAGTGGATGAATTATTATGTTGCTCTTGAGGAGGTGGATTACCTACTCCAGTGGGAGAACCCTTCCCCTTTGGCATAGGTAGTGTCTATACTGATGTGCTACAGCAGTAGTGAAGTTGCTAGGCTGTTGTGCCACTGTAGCATTTCAAGTGTAGACAAGCCCTATGTCTCTTGTAGGAGCAACTAGATGTGATACGGAAAGGAAGCACATTTTGATGCTGACTCCTTTGTAGGCACCATGAATTGGTGGATTTGTTTTCATTGCCAAAAACAATGTAAAAAGTATCTCCAGGAACATTGCAAGAATCTCAATATATTGTAGCCCTTTCCTGGATCTAGTTTTTCTTTGTGAATGTGTCGGAATGACAAACCCCTTCCAGCCCATGTCCCCTGTTCACACAGACCCACACGCTGTCACCCAGGAGACAGAGAAGCAGTCTGGGGCCGGAAGCTGGTGAAGTCCGCGTTTTAAAATGGCTAGCAGCATTGCAGATTCTCTCTCCCTTTGTAATAGTCACCAGTTAATCAGTGCTGCCACCACTCCAGCAGCTTTATAATTATGTTGTAGGATTGCTGTGTGGGAAGCAGTATGCTGGCAAAATGTTGCACCTCTGCAAATGTAAGAATGAAGGGTAAAAGGGAAAAGCAGGACTTTTTAATAGAAGCATTAGTCATAGAGAAATTGCAGTACGGTGTCATTGGGCTGCTTACTTCTTGTGTCTCTAAAAATACCCTCTTGTCTAGTGGTTTGACTGGTACGACAGTGCAGTAATAGAGAGACAGGAGATCTGGATTCTAGAGCAGCGTGAACATTGTTAGCCCTTCTTTCCCTTGAGCAAAGATGCAGGGGAGCATTTTAGAGGCCGTGCTCCCAGGCTGCAGGGAACGTGACTCGTTTTCCGGCATTTGCTGACGTCTGGTTCTGCTCCTCTGTAGCTATAGGCTTTGTGCTGAGATAGAGCAGAGAACATTGAGGTGGGACTGGGATCAGAAAAGGGGAAGATTAAATAAAACCACACAAAATGACCCCCCCCCCCATCATCCTACTTGTAATGGAACTTGCCGTAACTGAGATAATACTGCATGCTGTGGGGAAGACCTGCTGCCGTATTGCTTTTCAATATGACGGGTGACGAGGGAAACCTATGCTTGGACTCCTAAGGATTCTCACCATTAACTGCAAATATTTCCTCTTGAACAGAGGGAGATTCCTGGGAGCCAAGTGTTCTAAAGATGCCCTGTTAGTAGGAGAGTGCGGATAGAGAAGGTTAATCTAGATGGAAGAGAACATGCAGTAGCATAATCTGGCAAGAGAGTTTGACAACCAAGTGCCTGTTGGGAAGGCTAGAATAGATAATGTAATGAGGTTGCAACCTATTAACAATGGGTTCTTCAAATGATATGGCTTTATTTCACTGAGTGGCAGTGAGGTAGGCATCCCTGATTGTCCTGAGGAACACACCAGAGATTTTTGCAACCTCATATGACTGATAGCTTCTAGATCCTGGCAGTTAAAGTTGGCTTATGGTTAACTCTCCATCCACCATGACAACATACGCAGTTGTGCATGTTGGGTCATTTTGGCTCAGAAGCCATTGTTGCTATTGAGAAGAAACAGCTAGATTTGATAAGTCCACCCAACTGTACTGCCATCACGTCTGCTTCTGCCTCCCAAAAAACACACTAGAAGACAAAAAACAACACATAGTCTAGTAGCACCTAAAGACTAACAAAACATGCAGAGGGTATCATGAGCTTTCCTGGGCACAGCCCACTTTTTGTCACTCTTCTTTGACCCCATGCATCACAAGCATGGTCTTATTAATTATAGGTAGGAATATAGGTGGCTCTTAACATTACAACATTTATAAAGATCCATGTCTTACGTCTTTTGTTTACTCTTTATTTCATATCCAGCTTTTCCCAGCTCCACTCCAGACTCTCTCAAGGAAGATTGTCCAGTCCAGGACCAATAGCACCTTAGTTGGGGTCTTCGCCATTATACTGGTTTTTCTGTCAGCCTTTGTCAACATGGTACATGGTTTTAATCCATTTCTTTACTGTATAGTTTTATTATTGATCTTTTCAGGCATGCATACTGCACGCATAATCATTGCAACCGTGTGAATTAATGTCACTGTTGATAAATCTGAGGGCAGCTTTTCCTCCCCAAAAGTGAAATGGGAGTATCTAAATGCTTTCCTAGCAGTGTGCATTGCTGACCCTGGTTTTGCTTTTGTTGCACAGTAATTGTCTGACTGTTCTGTTTCCTTTGGTGACTTTATAAACCACGAGCACAGCTTTACCACTATTCAGAGGGCCAGAGTAAGGACTATGTGTCACACAAACCCCACAAAAGCCCTATTTTGAGTGGCACTCGAGTGCTCCGTAGGCTTTGTGCCAGCCCCTGAACAAGGCAGAATTTCACACTGAGGGTACTCACTTCACAGAGACTGGAAAGGCTGCGATTTATGTGAAACACTGGGGTTTCTTTGCATCTAGATGCTGCTGCTAATTTCAGATGCAAAGGGATACTGAATGTTCTTGATGGCCTAGAATTTTGAATTTTTAACTTGTTAGCTAAATTTATTTGAAAAATGAAACTAAATATTCTGTATTCTACATAACTCTGGGAGATTTTTAAGAGAAGGGTGATCCTGTGATTAAAGCACTGAGTAGTGTGTTCGATTTAGCCTCTACTGCCTCTTTATTAATTAGGGCTTAACTTTTACAAGTGCTAATCCACCACAGATCTCAGTGGAAATGCCGGATCCTCAGCATCTCTAAAAATCAGGCTGACAGCCACGGAGTGCCTCTGTTTCCCCAGGGAGATAAACATTGTTTGTAAAGCATTTTTAATTTCTTGGGTGGAAGGCACTAAGGGAATGCAAAGTATTATTATGGCTACAGTGTTAGAGCCTGATTTTTCGAGACACTAAGCACCTCAAAGGATTGGGCTCTGATAATGTAACTATAAAGAAGCAGGTGTAGATTAATGGCACTTGGCACCTTTCAGAATTGGACTTTTGTTCATGAGCATTCTACTCAATTGCCTGGATTGTCTGGCTCTTGCCATTGCAAACCATTTTATAATAAAATTATCCAAAGGCTGATGTAAACTCATGGCTTAATCAAACAGGTCATAAAGTAGTATTCAGGACTCCAGAACGCTGTATTCTGCTGGTTTCTCAGGTTTGCCACAGTGGGCTTTGTCTTAATTCAGTAGCCTTTGCCATAGAAGGCCCTACTGCAGCAGGCTTAGTGACAGATTGCTAGCTATGAGAAACTATTAGCATGTCCCCTTTGTCAATATATTAGCTGCTAGCAAGTATAAATATAACAATGTTTAGCATAGATAAACAAACTCGCTGTGAAATCTGGGGCACTAAATATTGTATCAGATAAATATTTAATTCTATTGTGCGCGAGAGAACTTTGTAAATGGATTGGTAGTTTCTTTTTCTTCTTACCCATGCCTTTGGTTTTTGTCACAATCTCTGTTTTTCCAGTTCACATGCAGCACTGTGGATCTTGACAGCTGTGTGGCTGCAGAGTACAACATCACTCCCAACCAGGTGGTATGCCTTCTCAGCAACTCATCTTTCAAATACAGCCTGGGCACCTTGCAGGGATTCTGTGGCAGTTCCCTGCCCAATTGCGACTTCCCAGAGGTATTGCGTGAAAGAATTGATTGCAGAGCTGGATTTGAAAAGCGGCTCAGTTCTGTATGTACTCATGCTCACATAAAAATAATTAAATCTTATGACACTAGGTGAAAACAATTCTTTGGAGGAGCCACGACCCAAATTCTTCTTCACCACCATCATTCCAGAATCGACAAGGGAAAACGTTCTTAAACATGGGTGTTTTGAGTTAGGCACCTAAATCCATTTTAAGGCATCTAAATACATGGTCCGATTTTCAGAGGTGCAGTGCACTCTTAGCTCTGGGTAAAATCTGGGACCTGCAGGTGCTAAGTGTGACAAACCAAAGCTATTACACATGCACAGTGTTGTTGGAAGGGATGCAGACCTTTACGCCTTACTTCACTACTTACAGCTAAAGGAGTTGCAAAAAAAACTCCTTTAGCTGTAAGTAGTAGTAGGCTTTTTTCCAACCACTAGAGACATGATCACGACATAGTTTATCGAGGCGCTTCAGTGGCTGCCAGTGACTTCAGTAGAACTTTTGGGTGCTCATCACCTCTGAAAATTAATGTAGGTGCCTAACTATATATTTAAGAGCCTAACTGAAGGCAACGGTTTGAAAACTTTGGCCTGGGCACATCTTGAGTTTCTCCGGAGCATCAGATATGGGCTGTGACTGGCAACAGAGCAGCAAGTTTGCTAATGGTCCACCCATCAGGATTTGTAGTGTGGAAACAATCCGCTTTGAAGTATTGATTTCTGTTTTGTTACAGCAAAAGATGCCTGTAATTTTTTTTTATGAAGTTGTATTGTGCTACACCCTAAATCTCTTCCTTCTGGGCAGTTGTTCGAGATACTTCTGTGAGTGGTTTGGTCACAAGCATAAACAATTTTTTTTAGAAACTGGAAAGGAGAAAAACTGTGGGGACGATGGTTGTGAGGTCTATGGGAAACCTCCCAGTTTTCTAGCTGATCCTTTAGGGCCCGAATGTTCAGGGTGTTACTGAGCACCCAAGATGAGCTGGGTGCCCGTTGGAGCAACCGGGGCATAATTCTGATTCCATGAAAGTCCATGGGAATTTCGCTATTGTCTAATCAGGGTGGGGGAGGCCGTTATGCCACAGTTGTTACAGCAGTTTGCAACGTTCTGTAATGGATGCGATGCTTGGTCTAAACGTAGGGTGGTGGCACTTAGAGTACAGACACTACAAGCTGCGGTAAAAGGACATCATGTCCACACATGTGACTGCAGCACGCACTGATACGCGCTGCAGGGAAAGGCAGCAGCAGAGAGGGAGATGGGAGGGAGGCTCTGGCAGCTCCCCTCTGCAAGGGTCTTTCCCTTGTGGCTGGAGCGTTTTTCTGCATCCGGGAGAGGCAGTGGGATGCTACACTGCTAAAATAGCACTGCCGATATGGAAGGCGCTGCTTAAACATGTAAAAGGCTGTGCAGGATAAGCACCCTAGTGGCCTGAGTGGTGGTATAATAGGCCAGGGGAGACTTGGGGGAGTTTCATTTTATTATGCCCCAGGCAGGTTCTGGGGCAGCTGAGGAGGCCGTATGCGCTATTCAGCTTCCTGGGGTCATTGTTAATCTCCCTGGACTCCAGCTGCCCCAGAACCTGCATGGGACATATCAAAAGCTCAGGTTCAGCTCCTCCAGGCAAAAGGGGTGGGGTTCCCTCTTGCAAAGTGCACAGAGGTCAGGGCTTTGGCCAGCTTGGGGCTCCTCTGGCTGAGGGTTGGGGTGCTCAGGGCAGGGACGAGCAGAGACTGGTCACTCTGGCTGCAGTGTGGGCCGGGAGTCTCAGTTCCAGCCCACTGGGCTTGGCAAAGGATGGACAGATGTGGCTACTGCTTCAGCTCTGCCAAGTTCTATTATGTTACACAGGTACGCCAAGGGGAGAATGTGGACTTAGAACGTTAGCCATTTCACTGTAATTGATGGAGGTTTCTTCTATCTCCTAGACACACACCCCTTGACCTGCCGTCTGTGTTCATTTAGCGCTGGGGCAGGGTTACTACTCACTCGATAGGGTCTGTTAATGTCTCTGAGTGTTGGGTTGCTTTGTACTACTGAGTTTTGTCTCTCTTTTCTTTTGTCTTTACACAGTATTTTACCTACAGTGTCTTACTGAGTCTCCTGGCCTGCTCTGTGTTCCTTCAGATCAGTTGCATTGGGAAACTGATCCTCATGCTGATCATCGAATTAATATACGTTCTAATTGTGGAAGTACCAGGGGTGAACCTCTTTGACAATGCAGATCTTCTGGTTGAAGCCAACACTGTGTAAGTGGATTTCACTTGCAAAATGTCTTCCTCCAGCACACCAAATCACAATGCTACTCCAGATTACAGGCAGTCCCCAAGTTACGCGGATCCGACTTATGTCGGATCCGCAGTTTCAAACGGGGTTTGCTGCCAGTCTCCCTGGTCTGCTGGAGAACAGCAGACCAGGGAGACGGGAAGCAAAGCCTCTGAGGACGCCAGCAGCAGCCTGTCTGGGCTGTCCGCTGCCCACGTGCTCC